GGTCAGCCGCGTGCGTCGACTCCGCGGCTGCCACGCGACCCAACCTCGCGATAGCCTGCAGCACCAACAACGCCGTGATGAGTCTTGTCATCGTGACGCTCCACCTGTTTCGCAATCTTTAACTGTAAACAGAAAAAACACACGATTACTTCATCGATACAATTCCTTTCGCAGAAGATACCTGTTTTTCTTTGCTTTTTTATTGTTTCAGCCGTTCACAGGCTGTACTGATCAACTCGTCAAATTGAAAGAGGTAGAGAAAAACAATGATAGAATGCTCGTTTAGATACACAAAAATCATGTGCATACACAAATCCTCGAGAATGAGACGTTGGTCGCGTACTCATACGTAATGAAATCGAGAAATTGATAGGAAGCGGAGCTGATCGGTGTGACTCCTGAGGTGCTCATTTATAAGTCGTTAATGCATCGATCGTTGTCGGAAGGATAAAAGGTTACGATTATGTATTGCTACGTAAGGTAGAGTATTTTAGACAATCTAGTAGTTCTTATGTTAATTTATGATTACGATTATGGCCACGATTATAGATTCCTATATAATCTAGCGCATTTTATGTAATTTAGTAGTCCTGGTATTAATTTATAACTTTTTAAATCATCTTTAAGGTGGATTTTATATTGAATTTCTATTTATAGGAAGAACATATTTGATATTGGAGGAGAAAATTAATTTTCTAGTTTATTCTTAAGCTAATAAGTACTGAGTTATTGGTGTTTAAATATAAACTAGTCTCTAAAGTAGAATCTGGTATAAGGTTAGAGACCATTATTTGAATCTATAGGAATCTCAATTTGTCTCGACACTTTGCATCCGTTTTTCAACTCGTTCAACCTGTTCTCCAAGCACTCTATAGAAATCTTGTAACGTAAAATTAACGACAATTCTTTCTCATCGCGTTGTTATGTGTTTTATTTGCATACTAACAAGATTAAAATGGCAAAATAGATGCTGTATAGTCTATGATTTGAAAACAGGAAGTTGTTGAACACTTCTATTTTTATCAATTGGCGGTAATCAGCAGGTGTTTGTTACGTGAAAGTGATCTTTTCTGTCATGTCAATTTCGAAATTTTACCATGAAAGATTCACACGATCTTTAAGATTTCTTAAGTGACAGATATTCATATTTTTCATTTTGATATAAATATATATAATTTTATATATAGAACAATGTTATTTATTTTTATTATTTTTGGTATATACGTAACCTTTTTTAATATAAAACGATATTATTTATCTCAATTTAGAAAATTGTATTATATACGATCGAATATTTAACACCAGTAAATTATACGTCCATTTTAATCTATTTTAAGTAACATAAAATCAAAAATGTAAGACTCCTGGCATATTTCAAACTTTACAAATGCTTCCGGGTTCGCGAGTTTCACTGAAGATGTACCAAGTTCAGTCAAGCAATTCTTTTCTTCCGTACACATTCCCATCTTTACATCACAGAAATTGAAGATCAACGGTACAAATTGTTTCTCCAACAATATTTGTATCTCTCGAAGCTGTGTCGTTCATATGACTATCCCCCTTTCTATCAAAACGCGTAGCTTCAACCGCGGGAAAAAGGTACGTAAATAACGGCGTATTTTTACGCACCTCTGTTGCAATCGCGTTGTTTTTTGTCATGTGAAACTAAATAACAATTAGTTTGGTTTCGACATCGCCGACCAAACGCGTGCGTCCGCGAGATTGGCGCGCGTGCGCGTGCGTGGCTCAACGAAACGGACGAAAAAGCTTAAGTGGCAAAAAGTTGCGAAAATTCCGATCGCACCCGTAGAACGAACGACCACGTTCAAATACAACGAACCATTCGTGCACGATATTTTGCCCCGACACGTTGAAATAATTACACCGATGCACTTGCTCGATACACCGAAACGCTTCCATTCGCGGCGATTCGTGGGTTGCACATACCTGTCGAGATTATCGATAACGCTTCCGCGTCTCGATATCGAATTCGAAGCAGTCGGCAAAAGGCCAAACGGCGTTTCTTGTATTTTGCTTCTTTCCTCTGGAATACCACAAGGACGTTTTTCACGAGGATGAAATCGATGCAAGAAACATCGACGACGACGAAAGCGGTGGAGGAGAATGATTGGTTGTTCCCGGGGGTCACAATAGGAGAACGCGCGGTGGTGAATGCACCAAAAAATCGAACGAAATCACAGAAATTCGTCCAACGTTTAAGATTAATTTATCGAGATCGAGTCGCGCGCGTTACCACCTCGTAAGAAATTAAACGACGATTTGCAATGATAATACGGACCTCGCGAGCACCGCGCTGCAGGGTATAACGACGTCGACCGGCTGGCTCTTAGGCACTGGGTACACCTGGCTGAGCCGCGGCGCACGACTCTTCCTCGACCGAACAGGAGAAGGGGGAGGGGGCACTGGGACCGCTGCCGACTAAGGAGGACAGAACGGTACGCACAATTCGATCGTAGGCTTCGACACCATTGAAAACAAGCCAACCTCTTTCTCTCCTTCCCTTTCTCGCGTGTCCATTGCCTCCACCCGAATTCTTCCCCCATTCCGCTATTTCCTCGTATTCTTATCGGGATCGCGACTCTGACTCTCTTCTCCCCCCTCGACCCCGGTCGACGTACCGATAGACCTCGATTTCGTTCACGTAGGTATTTCCAGGCGATCGGGTGAAATTCTATTCTTAGTCGGAAAGCAACGGTTTTTCGGGACCCGGCTCTGACGTAACCCGTAACCTCGGGACACCCATGAAATTTATTTCGTTGCACCTTCGAATTTCAATATTGTAAACTGTGAAAACACCCCCCTCCCCCCCAAACAAGTTACAATAATTCGCCGTCTAATGCAATGTAAGAGTTCATTTTGTACACGCGAATGCACTTTGCTTTGGCGACACTCTCGCGAGCCAGTGATTGCAAATGACATTAATGAGCAACAGAATCCGGTAGGATTAGTACGAGGACAACCAGGGGTACCAGTCGTGAGAACGCTACGTGAACGTGGACAATTGCGAATGTGGAAAATTTATTGAAATGTCTACCGGTGTTTTACATGAAACGTTGCACGCATAGCTTCACCGAGTACTCTGAATTACCGTGTAAAGTAATTATGTAATTTTGTTATACGGTGTATTTTGTACACAACGATTCTTCGCATCCTGAATTAACACATTAACGGCCATTGACGTAATATTACGGTTTTTTTCAAGACCAACATCTGACTAATGATGGCTACGAGGAGAGGAAAATTTCTTTTATTTATTTCGATTAATAAAACGATGGGTGATTTAAGATTTCCATGAAACACGAAATACGTACGATTTTACTATGAAAACTATATTGAAAATAAGATAAACATATCAAACTATGTATCAGGGAACGTATTAACGGGAAAGATAATTAAATCGCGCAATGTTCAATTAAGTGTATAATGGATATTATAAGACTGTGGACAGATATGCGAAAGGATTCTTTATTCGGATCAATTGGAGCAAAAAGTGGATCATAATATGTGATTAGCCGACAGCTAACCCAGAATTTGCGTACCGAATTAATGATAATTATGACGACGAGTGTACACACGGCGGCGCCGTGGCCAGAACGGATGAAGAATGTAGGAAGATGGAGAAGAAAGGTGGGGAACAGGAAAAGCAGGAGATCCCAAAGAGAGCAAAATCGGATGCACGTGTGAACAGTGCGACCTAAGCGGGCGTCGCGTCGGTGTCCCTCTGTACGTACACTCGGTCGATTCACGCGGTGCTTAGAGGCTGTTCGACGTGGAAGAAGCGAAACGAACATCGAGCCGGTGAGAAAGAGTGGAGAGAGAAAGAACGCGCAAACGATGGAAAGAGAGACGCGTAGCACTCGTACCAGGTGCCTATACCATCGCGTCACCATGCTGGAATAACGGTGCCTGGATGTCTCATCGGGTTCAATCGCAATCGACAATCTTCCGCCGCGGAATTTCGCAAGGAAACGACCGTTTTGTCGTCTTCGTTGTCTTCGTCGATTTACGAGCGGCCGCTATTCGTCCGCCCTTGAGTACCGATCGACCCAATGGCCCCCTGGCCGTATCGTTTCATCCGCTGATGCGTGTCTTGCGGACTCGTTTCTAATAAAGTCAGGCCGCACGTTCCCGCCATCCCATTTAATTGCTCTCTTTTACGTAACATGTTTGGTTTACGTCTTTAGATCGTTATATTTAGCCCTGTAAATTGAATTTCATCCCTGCAGTTGAGAATCGATCAAAACGATGAAATTGTGATCGCTGGACATTAATATTCAATAAAATTCGTATACATTTCCGTTTATTTGCATTTTGAAACAAATAATAATAGTAATAGGTAGGTTTATCGTTGTTTATCGCATATTCGTGATTAACGATGATTTCTCAACTTAATGTAAAGGTTATCAACGAGGCTATATAGTTGATAAGTAATTACAGATTTCTAAATATTTCACTTCGATCACAAATATCCAATAAAGGCGCGAACGTTACGCGTTTGAAGGAATACTGAAAATAGGTACTTTATCATCTTAGACTTCATTTGTAAACATTTTAAATTCTGGTTAACGTTGAAGTAATTAGTCGTATAACTAAGTCTACAAAATGGATAGTTAGACATAACCCCTAATTATGAATCGTAAATTCCATATTGGTCTGTATTTGGTACTATTAATATAATTAATGTGTAACTAAATCGTAATTCGAACAGCTTCATCGTGGTTTGTTTATTCATATATTTAGATAAACTAGTCTAACTAGAAGCTGAACTTGTAAAACGAGTCGAACGAGGACGTTAGATTGCATTGATTTAACGTTATGTTAAAATTTTAAATATTATAGAAAGTGAATGGTATAAGATTCCTGTCTGAAAATGTTTGTCAAACCGGTAATATTATGGGGTTTTTTATCTTTAAGTAATTTATCTAACATATTATTGGATCATTCCATAAGTAACGCAGTCGTTGGTTTTTGAATACTAGATGAGAATAAAAAATTGAAAATAAAATAATATACTTTTCATAGTTCTTTACCTTTTCTTAGTTATTCCCTATTAGTTCCTTATTCCAATTTTATAAAACTTTAGCACTAATGACATTGTTTTAACTCCCAGAAAAACATCTACTTATGGGATGACCTAATATCATAGTCTCTTTCGTATTTTATTGAGAATTTTAGGCCAATGAGGAATATAAGAAACGTATTTAGATTTTGTAGTTTCACCTGCCCTTTATACGACATGTTATTTCTGAAGTTATGAATTTCAGTTACCACTAGATTTCTTCGTAATGCGATATGTTTCCGCATTACTGCTAGTTACTTGGAGTTTCTCCTATGCGATCCAATATCAACCGAGTAAATAAGATACCGTAATAATACTTGACTATGTAAAGAGGTTAGGAGCGTACAAAGCAGTAGTCCAATTGATATTCGCGCCAGTCGCTAATACGATCGGATTATTTTAGTGGCCACAAAACAGACTGTATCGACCAATATGTACTGTGATATCTTGAACTAACTGAATTGAATAGACGACAGTAATTCCGGATGGAAATTGTACTGTTACATTCTCGTAATGACTTCAGAGTGAGCCAATTAAAAATCTTTCCTACCTACTACGTGTCGATTTCTTTCTGTGATTCTATACATGTATTTCGAGTTCTTCAGGAAGAAAGTTGTTTGAAAAGCAGTTATGAATGTGTAGTTGAAAATTATATTAAGCAGACATCTTTTTAATATCGTAAATTTAGTAATTTTGCATTATCGTGCTTAAAGGCTTTCGTTGATATATTCTCACATATACAAGAAGATCTTTTAATTTTTTTAATCTTTTAGTGCAACTATTTTAACGTTAGAAATGACAACAAACAATTAAACGATATTAAATGATAAAAAGAAAACAAAATTCCTCAGTAACTTTACAATGTTTATCTCTATCTTATAAAAGTTACAATATTTAAGTGTATATATATTGTCATTGATTTATTTTTACGACGAGTATCAGGAGATGAAAATATCCTTCCACGAAATCCCACCAATATACTGAATTCCTAAAATTCCTTCCTTAATACCTCTTTTAGCAAAAGCTATTCCAGTATTAATTGTCTCGACAATAATTACAGTGTTAGCTTATGTTTCAACTAGAAAGTAAGTAAATTACTTACGATTCCTCTGTCTGTTACGTAATTCGATCGGAAGTATGGCATGGAAATGTAAGAATCATTGGAATACCCAGCGTCTATCACGTTACACGCTTATCAACGCGGCATCATAAAATCCACGTTGAAAAGCAAATTAGCAGTAATGCTTAAGCTCGTCGGGGATCATTGTTCGTTATGTTGAATTATGTTATGTAACTTAACTCGGCCGCTTTTAATACATTAGTTCGCGCGATTTAATTTACTGTCGACCATGCAGCGTAACCGTGATTCCAAACAAGCGAACGTGCAACAAACGAAACGTACGAATCACTGGTGCGAACGTTTAACGGGCACGCGACTTATCGCATAACGGCGTAAGGCCGTTCTCGATACTGGTTCTCGGTCAAGCGGATTCTCAAAGTTATGCAGAAGGTTATAAGAGTGTACTCGAATATCTTGTCCGCGATATACGCTCTTCGGCTCTCTGATCTCTCGAAATTTATGGATGTTACTCGCGTCGTAAAGAAAGTCTTCCATGCTGATTTAATTCGTACCACTTTATCCGTGTGAAAGGGAGAAAGAGACGTGAGCACTCTCTCTCTCTTTCTTTCTCTCTCGCCCTCTTTATTGCTCTAAGTCGACGTTAAATTGCTAAACGTTATCATCCAATCCCGTCTACGAGATGCCGAGAAACAAAGTTAACTCGTGACTCTTCTTTGCCGATCCCTTCTGAAACTTTTATTCTCGTTTAACAACGTTCTTGCGACCACTTGTTCTCGTGAATCCGTCCTCCTTTCACGAACTTACGGGTCGCAAGGTCAATTTAGCCGCGCCGCCGTTGTCCTCGAAAAATATGACACGTTGCGATTGTAAAACTCCTTCGACTGTGTATGACTTTTAGAATACGAAAAAAGGTATTGCGCGTTTTATGATATTTAGGAAAATTTGGAGATGACCGAGTGGATGACCTAGAAAACTTTGGTCGAACGTCATTTAGTAAAGTTAGCAGCATTCATTGTTGTTATTAATATAATGATTTTACTAAAATAGTTGCGTATCTCAAAAACTGTCAATTTTAGAATATCTGCAAAATTTTGGCACTAGAAGGGAACTATTTAACTTTTTCCTTTTTAATAGCAAGCAATTCTATTCGCGTAAAGCGTCCGGATACTCTGGAGCG